CCAGCAAGATGGCTCAGCTCAGCTGGACACAATGGCACACACCTGTCATCCCAGCACTCCAGGAGACAGAGGCAGGTGGATCTCTGTGAGTTCAAGGCCAGCCTGGTTTATAGAGAAACCCTGTCTTAAAAAACAAAAGCAAACACACAGAAAAGATTGTTCAGCTCATTCAGGGGCTTGCTGCCAAGTCTGATGTCCTAAATCCTATCTTTTAGATCCCTAGACCCAAGTGGTAGGGAAAAAGAACCAGTTTCCACAGGTTGTATTCTGGCCTTCAGAGGAGTGTCAAAGCATGTACCCTCCAGCCACGCATGTGTACACTGAATGTGATTTAAAAAGTATTAGTACTTATAATTCTGGATCCCAGGATAGGGACTATCATCCCCTTTACTACTTGGGGAGGACAGAGGTCAGAGTAGAGGCAAGAAGGAGCCAGGCATTTTTTTTTTTTTTTTTTTTTTTTTTTTGAGACAGGGTTTCTCTTGGCTTTTCCTGGGACTTGTTCTGTAAACCAAGCTGGCCTGGAACGTAGAGATCCATCTGCCTCTGCCTCTGCCTCTGCCTCTGCCTCTGCCTCCTGAGTACTGGGATTAAAAGTGTGTGCCACGGCCACCTGGTCTGGTTTTGGTTGGGAAGTGGATATCCAAGGGGTCATTCTATTAGTCATTTAGTGTGGATATCTTCAGTCATGGTGGGGGCTCCTTGGAGTAGAGTGAGCTCAATGTGACCCTTAGCAAAAATCCAGACTATGTTTTGAGACGGCATTTCTCACTGAACCTAGAGCTGGCTAATTCAGCTAGACTGTTTAACTAGCAACTCACATCTCCACATCTTCAACACTGGGTTTTGCACAGCACCATGCCTGGCTTGTACGTGGATGCTGAGGAACTGAACTCAAACCTCACGCCTGTGGACACAGAATTATAATCCAACTGCTAGTAAAAACTCATTGAAAAGTGGACTGGAAAAGTTAGAAAGTGACTAAGATGCTTTGTGGCAACTTCTTGCCTGTACTTGCACTTATGCATATGACACACACACACACACAGATTCATTTCATTCACCAAACACTTCACTGAGGAATTCCCCCTGCCCTGAAATGCTTTTCTCATGCTAGGAATGGTAATGGACGCTTGTGATCCCCGTGCTGAAAAGGCTGAGGCAGGATGATCATGAATTCGAAGCCAGACTGGACTACCTAGTTTGTTTCTCTATTGTTCAATAAAGACAGAAGCAACTTAGAGAGGAAAAGGTGTATTTGGCTTATACTTCCATGTCAGTCCTCGCTGAGGTGAGAGGTGGAGCTGAAGTAGAGGCCATGGAGGGATGCTGCTTAGTAGCTTGTTCACCTACCTTTCTTTTTAATAATTTATTTAATTTTATTATCTGTGCATTGGTTTGAAAGTCAGAATCCGCAGAACCTGGAGTTACAGAGTGTTGAGAGCTGCCATGTGGGTGCTGGCAATTGAACCCGGGTCATTTGGAACAGTAGACAGTGCTCAGAATCACAGAGCCATCTCTCCAGGCTGCTACTTATACAGCCACATCCATGTGCTCAGAAGCCTGTCCCACCCCTCCCCTGCCCTGCATTCCCTGCTCTTAAGAAAATTCCCCACTGTCATGGCCACAGGGTAGCCTGAGTCAGTTCCTCATCTGAGATTCCCTCTTCCCAGGTGACTCTAATTTGTGTCAAGCTGACAAAAAGCAACCCGCACAACAGACAAAAACCCAGACAGCCTTATCTGCAGATGGCAGGGAGGCCAGCACTCTGCCCCCACTGCCCAGAACTGAACTGATGCCAGTTCCCAGAAAAGGGCTCAAAAGGGAAGGAAATGGGTCCTCTCATAGTTCCTCACCACAGAGCCAATGTGTCTGTCTGTCTGTCCACTTCTGTCGTTGCCTGCGTCCCTGTAATGAAGACAGGGCTGGAACTGTGAGCCAGGCAGTTGGGGTGTGATGGGGTTAATGGAGGCTGGACAGCCCATCTTAGAAGTTTTAGGCTCACTGTGGATGTGGGGACCAGGCAGCCCACAGGGCAGACCAACCAGGAACATTCCTTTCCAGTGGAGCAGGTCTAACCCAGATGTTATCTTTCAGGATATGTCTTTCTGTGAATGTGTGTGTGAAATCTGTGGATTATATCCATGTCAAGTTTCTGATTATATCTGCATGTTTTTTGTTTTTGTTTTCCGAGATACTAGGAGAAAACAGAGGGCAAAGGTCCATAAGATGACACTGTTCGTTGTTTTCTAGAACAACCTTTTAAAAATTACATTTACTCCTTTGTGTGTTGGTGGAGCTTGTAGTGGTCATACAGAGCTTGTGTGAGGTCAGAAGACAACTTGGGGTTCTCTTCGTCTTCTGGACCCTGGGACTCAAAATCAAGTTGTCAAGCTTGGCAAAGCGCTTTCATCTGCTCAACCATCTTGGCTGGCCTTGAATACTGGATCCCCCCACCTCTACCTCCTAAATATCACAGACAAGTGTCTCTATGCCTAGGAGGTTAATTTTCTTTCAGTGCTTTGCAAATCTGTAATTATTTTTAAATAAACTAGTTTTAAAATGATGTGCTTAGTGGTATATGCCTGTATTTAGAGTACTTGGGAGGCTGGAGCAAAAGGATTGCTTCAAGTACAAGGCCAGCCTGGCTTGCAAAGTGAGTTCCGGGACAGCCAGGGCTACACAGTGACCCTGTCTCATCACCCCAAAATTAAAAGCTCCCAAATCAAACCAAAGAAAAAGAACTTCTGTAATGTCAGTCCTCGGAAGGTTGAGGAAGGAGTGTGGCTAGTTCAAGGGCGGCTTGGGGTACAGTACTGAGACTGTTTTAGGAAACGACAAAAACCTCTTTTTGTGCTGTGGAGTGGGTAAAGCATTTACTTTGTATGGGGATTTGGAGTCTGGATATCAGAAATGATCCTAAACACTGGGTGGGTGTGTCATGTCAGCCTGCTTGTAATCCCAGTATCAGGGAGAGATGGAGAAATTGTGCACTACAGTAGCAAGATATCTTGTCCCAGTACTCAGTATATAATGTGGAGAACAATCATGAAAACCAACAGACATCAACATCTGGCCTCCACACAAATTCGTGTACACACAAACACACATGAACACATGCAAACACACAAACATTCAAGTATGACATACAGATATACACACACACAATTTTTTTTTTTTTTTAAGACAAGAGTCTCAGCTGAGCATGGTGCCATACGTCTTTAATTCCAGCACTGGGGGTGGGTAGGTGGGGGGAACAGAGGCAGGCAGATCTTTGTCAATTCCAGGCCAGCCTGGTCTACAAAATAATCCAGGACAGCCAAGACTACACAGTGAAACCCTGTCTCAAAAAACAAAACAAAAAGGCCAAGAGGCTCACTATGAAGCCTTCTCTGGCATGGAGTTTGCTGAGTAGACCATGCTGACCTCGAACTCAAGAGAAATCTACCTGTCTCTGCTTCCCAAATGCTGGGATTAAATGAGTATGCCACCAAAATTGGTGCAAAAAACAAACAAACAAACAAACAAAAAACCCCCAAACAAAAAAAAACAACAACAACAAAAAAAAAAAAACTTTTAGGGATGAGATAGTAGCTTCCGTTGTAGAGCAGCTGCTTAGCATAATGAATGTCCTAGATTCGATCTCTAGCCTGGCCAAATAACAATAACTCCTTTTCACTCTCCAGCCTACTTCCTAATCCAGGCACTTACCACCTCCCTTGAGGACTTTTGCAACGACTTCCAGTTTTCTGGGTTTTTGTTTGTTTGGTTGGTTGGTTGTTGAGAATCTCGCATAGCTCAGACTGCCCTGGAACTCACTACATAGTCTAAGAAGACCTTGAATTTCAATTTCCGATCTTCCTGCCTCCAGCTCTCAAGTGTGGGATTACAGGCAAATACTCTTAAAGCGGGTTTGTAGAGTGCTGAAAGAACTATGCAAGCATGCAGACACTGCCAACGGAGGTACATCCCCAGCTGCAATACATAAATTCTGGTGGTGTTGTCTGTCTTTTCAGCGCTGGGGATCGAACCCAGGTCCTTGTACAAGCTAGGCAAGTGATCTACCACCATGCTATCACCCTGGCTTGCATTCTACCTTCAGCTTTTGCTCCATGCCCTCCTATGATAACCAGCGTGCCGGAATGCAGTCAAGTGGGAATAAGAACCTCTGTCCTGCTCCTTGGAAGGATCCAGGGCAACGACGCTGCAATAAAGTTCTTAACAAAGGACCAAGACGTGGCTGGAGCGGAACCGGCGGAGTACGCAGCCCGGTCGTACCCGACAGACTCAACTTCAAAGCCCCGCCCCTCGAGAACCAGTCCAATAGCCAGGCCTGGCCTCTCCAGGCCGATCGCTGAGTCCCGCCCCCCAGAAGGCTCAGCCGGAAGGCGCTGCCCCTCTAGACGTTCAAAATCCAAGGCCCCACCCTCCGAAGCCGCTCAAATCGGCGCGGTCCCGCCCCCAGGACGCAGACCGCTAAGCCCCGCCCCTCAGGACGTGTCAACGGCCAGGTCCGGCGTCTTCTGATACTCACACTACCAACTATTCCTTCTCAAACACGAAAACTGTCAAGATCGGCTCCTCAAGACGCCTTAAAGGCCAAGATCCGCCTCACAGGATGCAAAACTGGGCCCCGTCCGTCGAAGCGCGCCAACAGGCCCCGCCCCTCGGGGGGCCTCAAACTGCCAGGCCCCGTCCCACAAAACTTCCTAACGGCGAGAGCGGCCAGGCTCCGCCCTAGTGAGCGCTCCAACCGCCAGGCCCCGCCTCCCAGAGCGCGCTAACGGCCTGGCCACGCCCTCCGGAGGCCCAAGCGGCCAAGCTCCGCCCTGTGGAGCCCGCCAACTGCCAGGTTCCTTGTCATAGGACCGTGTAAGCGTTAGGCCCCGCCTCCCGAGGCGCGCTTGGGACCAGGCCACGCCCCGAAGAGCCTAACCCGAGCCAGTCCCGCCCCTCGAGGTGCGCCAACTGCCCTCCCCCGCCCCCTCGTGCGCCGAGACGTGAGGACGCCGGCGTCGTAGGCTGAGGTGGCAGCCGTCCTGCGGGCATGGAGCTGCCGCAGATGCCGGAGCTGGTGGGGCTGTCGGTGCTGGTGGGGCTGCTGGCCCTGGTGGCCACGGCGGCGGTGGCGCGGGGCTGGCTGTGGGCCGAGGAGGACAAGGCCAGCCAGCCCGTCTGTAAGTATACCGGGCCGAGTGGCCGTGGCTCTGTGAGGACTCTGCGCCCGAACGCCGCATGGTCTGAGGAGCCTGGAGGATCACGGACCTAAGTTTCCCCGGGTGTGAGATGAACTTTTCCCGTGCAGATATCGGGTTGCATGTCCCGGGCTGGTTGCACCCCAGGGACAGAACTCTGGAATCTCCGCCGCTAGGTTGTCGGTCACTTTTTCTGGGATAATGCCCCTCTAACCCCCTTGTTCCCGGGGCTGTTAGGAAAACTCTGCAAAACCGAAGTTTGCAGTGTTCGTGTTTCTGGAAAATGGGAGTCATTTGAAAATACTTCTCGGCCAACTCTGACGGGCAGGAACGTTTTCCGAGATCTTTATTGCAAAGCTTCCGAGTCTTTTTAATTCGTTTGAATAAGAAGCATATAAAAGCGTAGATCTGAATTGTAAGCATCTGAAAACGCAGTAGAAATATACAGCATATTAAATTTCACAGAACAGTTACTACTGTAAAGGGAACGAGAGCACAAATGGTCCTAGTGGGGTTTTTGTTGTTGTTTTGAGAGGGTGGAAGTTTTGGACTTTGGAAACTTCACTGAGGGTAGGGAACTCATTGTGGTGGGTTTATTTGTTTTGAGACAGGCTTTCACCATGTTATACAGACTGGCATTGAACTCTGCATATTCCTGCCTTAGTCTGTGGAGCTCTAGAATATACAGGTGTGTCCCCTCCCCATACCTAGTCTTGTTTGGTGCTGGGTATGTGAAACCCAGGGTCTCATGCAAGTGCTGTACCACTGAGGTACACCTCCCAGTCTTTGATGTGAGATGTTTAAGGATAGAAGTGTAGGATTTTACCTGGGAAAACAGAAGAAAGACAGTTCTGCATGAGGCAAAACTCAAAAAGGCAGGGACTCCAAAATATTTGGAGGCTGGGGATAGGGTTCATCCTTAGACCACCTGCCTAGGATCCCCCAGTGAGGAGCTGAGGTGTAGCTCAATCTTAAAACACCTGCTTAGAGTCTCCCTACTGAGGGCCCAGGAGCAGAGCTCAGGCGTAGAGCTCTTGCCTGTGATACCCAAGCTTTGAGTTTTATCCTGTTCCTGAAAGAATAAAAGAACCAGCTTCTGGTGTGACTCCAAAGGTCAACGTGGGCAAGTTAGAGGCAGATTATATGCAGCAAGTTCAATAGGTTTTAATTCCTCTAAGATTTAGGGAGCATCTATTGCCACCTAACACATGTCAGCTTTGTGTGAAAACCTGGTTCTCCCAAGACATTTTTTATTTAACTTCATTTATTTGTGGTTTTTTGAGACAGGGTTTCTCTGTGTAGCCCTGGCTGTCAGAAACCCACCTGCCTACAAGTGCTAGGATTAAAGGTGTGCACCACCGCCGCCCGCTGTGTGTGTGTGTGTGTGTGTGTGTGTGTGTGTGTGTGTGTGTCCCTGTGTTTCTGTGGAGGTTGGAGGAAAGCTTTGGGGAGTCAGTTATCTTCTACCACATGGGCTTAAAGTTGGGTGTCAGGCTTGTTGGCTGAGCTGTCTCCAGCCCAGTTCTCCAAGGTGTTGATGGTTTAGATTGCCTTAAACTTTGTTTCTGTCAGATAAACTGATAGTTGACTTACATACAGGGAATCACTGTGTAGCCCAGGCTAGCCTGAAATCTTGTAATCCTTCTGCCTAACACTCAAGTTCTGGGATTACTTGTGTGTGACACTTTAAATCTATGTGGCTTCTCTTGAGCTTTCTCATCAATGCAGGAGTGCTTTTGGCTTGTAACTTGGTTCATAGCTAGAGATTGGACTTGTGACTTTGCACACTAGGCAAGCCCTCTACCATTAAGCTATGTCCCTAGCTCCCCGTTCCCCCACTTAACTTGTGTGTAGGTAGATGTGCATACATTTTGTCCACATGGAGATCAGAGAACAACCTTTCATACCATTAAGAACGCAAGTTCCAGGCTGGAGAAATAGCTCAGAGGTTAAGAACACTTGCTGTTCTTCCAAAGGTCCTGAATTCAATTCCTGGCAATCACATGGTGGCTCCTAACCATCTTTAGTAAGATCTGGTGTGCAGGTAGAATGTAGAATAAATAATAAATAAATTAAAAAAAAAAAAACTTGTTAAAAAAAAAGAACACAAGTTGCTTCCACTGAAACAGGTTCTCATTTTGACCTGGAGCTCATGAACTAGGTCAGGTTGGCCAGAGAGCCCAAGTGACCTACCTGATTCCACCTCCCTCACCTGGCATCTTTATGTGGATTTTGATTATTAAACTCAAGTCCCTTACACTTGCCTATGAAATACCTCATTCCCCTCAGACCACCCAAGCCTTTTTCTGCACATATCACTTTCTCTCCTCAAGGACAAGGGTCCTAACTGGATCATGTCAAGGTGTTCCATCCAGAGCCTGAGTAGCCCTTGGTACTGCGTGGGTAGTCGTAGGTATCCAGTAGATGCTTCTGAATGAGTGCATGGATAAGTGACATGATCCTTCTTTCTAGGCCAGAAAGCAAATGAATCCAAGAAGTCAGGATCCAAGAAGCAGAAACAGAGTCAGAGGGTTCGCAAGGAGAAGCCTCAGCAGCACAACTTCACCCACCACCTTCTGGCCGCGGCACTGAAGGTACTTTGGTACTGCTGGGCATGCTGTATGTGTATACAAATACCTTTTAACGTTTACCAAGGGGGTAGGCATACACCATTCTGTCCCTTCTGCTTTTTTTTCCTCTTGTAGTACTGAGAGTTGAATCTGGGGCCTTGTGACTGTTAGACTAGCACTCTGCCACTCAGTTACACTTCCAGTCCTTGGTTGGCAGATTCTCCATACGTGCTCTGCAGTTGAGCACCTAACTGGGACATTCTAGGCAGGCACTTTCTACTTTATTTGTTTGTTTGTTTGTTCGTTCGTTTGTTCGTTCGTTCGTTTGTTTATTTATTTATTTATTTATTTATTTATTTATTTTTCTGCTTTTAACTTTGAGATTGTTTCACTAAATTGCTTGGGCTAGCTTCAGACTCACTCTGTAGCCCAGGCAGGACTTGAACTTGAGATCCATCTGCTTTAGCTCAAGAGGAGCTGGGATTATAGAGCTGAACTACCAGGACTAGCTTGCCTAGTTCTAGCCTCGGCTTGTTGGTCATCCAAGCACCGGAGCCATAGAATTGCAGCTGTAGGTTCAGCCTCCCAAGCCTCTTGAGAGTTTCTCATTGCTACTTCATGCATCCTTTTCCCTAGAGCCACAGTGGGAATATATCTTGCATGGACTTCAGCAGCAATGGCAAGTATCTGGCCACTTGTGCAGATGACCGTACTGTCCGGATCTGGAGCACCAAAGAGTTCCTTCAGCGGGAACACCACAGCATGCGAGCCAATGTGGAGCTGGACCATGCCACCTTAGTGCGCTTCAGCCCTGACTGCAGGTGGGACAGGACTGAGCCTCAGGCTTACTTGCAAAAAGGCCAGATCCTGGCTTTCATGTATCTGGTTGGGGTTTAGTGAGGAGGGATCAAGAGTCTACCTTGGGGTGACATAAAGAAAGCATCCAGGTAGTATGGGCACCTCCTGGGGCCTCTTGGAGATTCTGCTCTATAAGAAAGAAGCAGACACAGGAAGATATTCCTGTCCTGGATATTCCAGAATCTAGCTTTGCCATGAGTTTCAGACATGCTTCTGACACCCTAAGCTCTAGAAGTGAACCAAAGCTATAAGGACTCTTCTTCTTTTTTGTCTTTTGTAGTGTAGAGCTATACCCTCAGCCTTTCTTGCATTTGGGTTTTTGTAGTTTGATTGTTTGAGACAGGACACAGGGCCTTGCTATATTGCTCTGATTATATAATGCAGCTTGGCCCTGAACTTGTGAGATCTTTCTGCCCTAGTCTCCCTAGTGCTGGGATTCAGTGTGGCCTTGGGTTCCTTTGTTCAGAAAACATGAGCTAACATCTGTTTACCCTAGATAGGGCATCAACCACAGACCAGAGCGTAAATGCGTCACTAGTAGCATGGTGAACCAAAGAGTTCATTGGATTGCTTACAGGAGTATAGATAAGAAGATGTTTAAAAGAACATAGACAATTCTTTGGGAGCCGAATCATAAAAAGCCCACCTCACTGTGGGGGATGACTCAAAAAAGCTGTATTCTTGGAGCAGCACATTGTGCTTTAAGGCTGCCCACCGCCAGGCAGTCCTCTCTCCCAGAAGTTGTTCACTGTTTCTGTCACCTTGAGAGGGGCCTTATAAGTCTTGTGACTCTCCGAGCTTCTTGCTCCTTAAGTGTCAAGCCTCTTCTATCTATGGAGGGTATTTATTACTACTAAGGATCAAGCACAGGGCCTACCAGTGAGATAACATTTCTTGATTGTTTTGTTCCTTTTAGTTTGTGGGGGGAGGATATGCCACAGGACAACAGAAATTAGGTTTTTTTTCCTTCCACTATATGAGTTCCTAAGTATTGAACTTAAGTGACATATACATATAAAAGCAAGTGCTTTTTTTTTTTACCTGTTGAACCATCTCGTTGGTCCTGTGAATAGTTTTTACGAGATTTTGAGAGGCTGGAGTTAAGAGCACTGACTACTTTTATACAGGACCAGGTTCAATTCCCACATTCACATGACAGTTCATAACTGTCTACAACTCAAGAGTAAGGAAAGACTAATACATTTTGAACCAAGGGATCTTTTGTGCAATTGAACAGTAGGGCACAAGGGACAGTCTTGATTTTCCCTAGAATCTACGACACACAGGCCTCTGTCCAGGTAAGGGAATGACCTCTCCTTTGCCTGTCTCTAGAGCCTTCATTGTTTGGCTGGCCAATGGAGATACCCTCCGTGTCTTTAAGATGACCAAGCGAGAAGAAGGGGGCTTTACTTTCACCGCCACCCCAGAGGATTTTCCTAAAAAGCACAAGGCACCCATTGTCAACATTGGCATTGCTGACACAGGTAGGGGAAGTCTTGTGGATGGAATTTACTCAAGGCATGAAGAGAAGTGCCCAAGTCATAACTTGTTTTTTTGTTTGTTTGTTTTGTTTGAAAGATTTATTTTTACTTTGTGTAATGGGTGTTTTACCTGAAAGAATGTCTGTGTACCACCTGAGTGCAGTGCTCACAGAGGCCAGAAGAGGCATGGGTGACCTGGGATTAGAGTTACAGCCAATTGTAAGCTTCCCTGTGGGTGCTGGGGATTAAACCCAGGTCCTCTGCTAGAGCAGCCATTGCTCTTAACTTCTGAGCCACCTCTCTAGGATTCCCTCCTCCCTTTTTTTTAATTAATTTTGTGTTTATCATAACACATGGAGGTCAGAGGCCAACCTATGAAAGTCAGCTCAATCCTGGGGTTTAAACTCAGTTCATCAGGCTTGTGACAAGTATCTTCAGCTGAACCATCTTGCTAGTGTCTAAATTGTGTTTGTTGAATGAGTTAGTGCTGCCTGAGTTTTGCTTGGCTCTGGTCTTGTGCCTCCCATGAGAGCCATATAGTAGGAGCCACACTTCTTAGCACCTGTGGCGACCTTCGGCCTGGGAAAGCATGGCTTGGAGCATGGGCACTTCTTAGAGCAGTGCCTCATTGTTCCTTTGGGAGGTGACAGTTGGTCTCCTCACAGCCCTGATCCACAACTTCTCTCTGCTCCTCAGGGAAGTTCATCATGACAGCCTCCAGTGACACGACTGTCCTCATCTGGAACCTAAAAGGCCAGGTGCTGTCCACCATCAATACCAACCAGATGAACAACACTTACGCTGTTATCTCTCCGTGTAGCAGGTGAGGAGGAGGGATGGAGTAGATACAGAAGACAGACAGGTTAGAGGAGGGGGTGGGGATGCCTAGGTACAAGTCTTAGCTGTCCAAACCGTGAAGGGGTGTCACAAAGCGCCATAGTCCTTGGTGTTTATTTCTTCAGCTGTAATGTGGTTATTTTGTAGTGCTGAGGCTGGAAACCAGAGCACTGTACTTGTTCGGCAAACACTCAACCACCACACAACATCCACAGCCTCATCCAGGGGCTTCATTTCACTTGTTTTGTTTTGAGTCGGTGTCTTACTTTGTATCTCTGGCTGACACAGAACTCCTTATGTAGACCTTAGTTTCAGATGACCTGAAACTCAATGAGATCCACCTGGCACTCTATTAAGTATGGATTAAAAGTGTGTGCTGACATGCTGTGCCTTTTTAAAATGTTTGGTTTTTTGTTTGTTTTGTTTTGCTTTTTGAGACAAGGTTTCTCTGTGTAACCCTGGCTCTCTTGGACTCACTTTGTAGACCAGGCTATCCTCAAACTCAGAGATCTGTCTGCTTCTGCCTTCTGAGTGTTGGGATTAAAGGTGTGTGCACAGCTTTTTTTTTTTTTTTTTGAAACAGGGTCTGTCTTTTGTCTTTGTTTCCCTTCACACCCCACCCCATCCACTATTTCCTGAGTGCTGGGGTACTAGGCATGCACAACCAAGCTAGGTGTATGTGGTGCTGGGAGTAGAAAGCAGGGCTTTGGTGACATTAGACACATCTCTCCCAACTGAGAAGCTTCTGTACTGTAGATCTTGAAGTGCACCGTAACCTCAGACCTCGATTATTTATCCCAAGCTTCCTCAAATTTCTATTCATTTCCTTCCTTCCTTCCTTCCTTCCTTCCTTCCTTCCTTCCTTCCTTCCTTCCTTCCTTCCTTCCTTCCTTTCTTTTAGATAGATTTGCTATGGAGTACAGGCTGTCCTAGAACTAGCCAGGTTGGCCTTGAACCTGTGATACTCCTGCATCAGTCTGCTTGGTATTGGGGTTACAGACAAGTGCCTCCATACCTGGCTTTCTTTGTTCTTTTCTTTTTTTCTTTTTGTTTGGTTGGTTTTATTGTTCTGAGATAGGATCTCAGTCAGTAGCCCTGGCCAGCCTGGAACTCACTATATAAACTAGGGTGGTCTCAAACTCACAAGATATCTGCCTATTCTTGTCTGCTGAGCATTGGGATTAAAAGTATGTATCACCACACCCAGTCTTACTAATTTTAATTTTAGTTAGAGACAAGGTCCTAAGTTACACATACTGCTTTCCAGTTTACTTTGTTAGCCTAATTAACCCTTGAACTTGAGTTCCTCCTGCCTCTATACCAACTGAGATTGCAGAGTATACCTCCATGCCTGGCACGGAAAGACGTTAAAACGTTTCATTAGGCTGTAGCTAGCTGGAGCTGTAGGTTGATTGCCTTGTATATATGAAACTCTAGGTCTATGCCTAGTATCCCCAAAAGGTACTCTTTCTCAGGAAAGCGGTCTAGGATTTGTTAGGAGCAAGATGCCTTTTTACATTTGAGTTTTTTGAGTGTAGCTTACATGACAGGTTTGTGGGTTCGTGTGGCTTCACCCCAGATGTGAAGGTCTGGGAGGTCTGCTTCGGGAAGAAGGGAGAGTTCCAGGAGGTGCTGCGAGCCTTTGAACTGAAGGGACACTCTGCATCTGTCCATTCTTTCGCCTTCTCCAATGACTCTCGGAGGTGAGTGCATCAGTGCAGCTCTATTTTTTTTGTTTTGTTGTGATTGTGTTTTATAGACAGGATCTCACTTGGTAGCCCAGGCTGCACTTGAACTCGCAGAGATCTTCCTGCCTCACCTCAGCCTCCATTGCTGAGGTTATAGGTGTTTACCACCAAGCTGGGCCGAGCAGTGAGTAGTTCTGAGGTTCTTCTCCCTGTCTGGGCTACAGTCCTGAAAAGGGTGAAGGACTTGATTCTCGGCAGGATGTAGACTTGACTTCCTATCTTCAGTCACTCAGGCTGCTCCAGTGCCTTCCTACTCTAGCTGTGATTTCCCACATTGCAGGATGGCCTCTGTCTCCAAGGATGGCACATGGAAGCTGTGGGACACCAATGTGGAATACAAGAAGCAGCAGGACCCCTACTTGTTAAGGACAGGCCGCTTTGAAGAGGCAAGCACCATGCCTTGCCGCCTGGCACTCTCCCCTGACACCCATGTCCTGGCCTTGGCCACTGGCACCAGTATTCATCTCTTCAACACGAGGCATGGGGAAAAGGAGGAATGCTTTGAGTGTGTCCATGGGGAGTGTATTACTGATTTGACTTTTGACATCACTGGCCGCTTCCTGGCCTCCTGTGGGGACCGTGTGGTTCGGGTCTTCCACAACACCCCTGGCCACCGGGCTGTGGTGGAGGAGATGCAGGGCCTCCTGAAGCGGGCATCCAGTGAGAGTACCCGCCAGAGGCTGCAGCAGCAGCTGACCCAGGCCCAGGAGACCCTAAAGAGCCTGGGTGCCCTGAAGAAGTGACTCTGGCTCTGGATGGGTCTGGCTGCCTGCCCCAGTGGCTGCTATACTTCCCAGGGGCCCCTGGGGGAACCTCCCACCTTTCTTCTTGGTGGGCCCCACTTTTTCCATTGAAACTATTCTTGTATACTTAGATATATCTCTCTCTCTCTCATTTGCCTCCTCCCAGACTAAAAGGTGCTGTTTTTTTCACAGACCTAAGGGTTGGAATCTATCTTCACCCAGCACTAAGAAGAAGGGGTAGAGAGAAAAGAGAGAGCAAAGCTTTTGACTGTGTGGTAAATGACCCTAATACCCAAAGAAGTTTGTGAGTGTAGAGGTAAAACCTGAGGGTTGCCAGGGGACAATGTTCCATAAGGGTGCAGAATGTGTTTTATAATGCAGCAAAGTGAGTCTCCATCTGGACCAGGCTCCTAATATCAACAAGGACTGGTCTTTGTTGGCACTGGTCTGTTATCTCAGCACTCTACAGACAAAGGCAAGAGAATTGGGTTTGCAGCCAGTTTGGACTACATAGTGAATTTCAGGTCCTCCTGGGCTCCATATGGAGAGAGACTCAAGAGTTTTTTACCCTGGGCTTCAGCTTTCTTATTTGTAAAATGGGGAATGATGCTCTCTGTGGCCTTCCTGCAAAGATGCTGTGAGGCTAGGAGCGTTACAAAGTTCCCACACATGGAGCATAACAGTGCTTTCCAGTGTTATTAACTACCAGGTAAATGTGGCCCTCAAATTGCTCCGCAACCAGCAAGAATTGGCTCTTGGGAAGGCCAGGTTTCCTAAGGGCTGGCTTGCTAGTTCCTCTTGGATAAATATGGTGATTTGGTTCACATGCCATCTCAAGATGGTGCTCCTCTCTGCCAGAGACCTTGGACTCATCAGTTCAGTGCCTGCTTCATGGGATGAGCTAGTGATGCTGGCTGACACACACACACACACACACACACACACACACACACACACACACACA